TTGCTACCGTATCATTATGCTATAATAAATTCATCATAAGGTAGAATCAAAAATTAAGTCGGTGTGATATTCACGTTTTACGCTCAAAGACCTTTTATATAATGAGTGTATTAAAGAGATATAATATAAAACTATTAAAGGTGTATTACTTGTAAATTTAAATTTTTGGATTGAATTGACGCTTTATTATCCCTTTCAAATTCGTCAAGATTCATTTTAAATTACAATCAGATCTAAAAAAATGATATAACATAAGTTAGTCCTCGTTTATCATTAATATTATTCTTTAGGTTTTTTTTTTCTCATATTGCTGCAAATTTTTTTTATCTTATGTCACTCATTATAACTATATATTCTTGAAAGTATATAATTATAATATTAAAATTATTTTTCTCTCTTTTCACATCAGCTGACAACTTCTTAAGAGAGATTTTTTTTTAATATTATAATTATATAATTTCCGAAATATATAGTTATAATGGATGACATAGGATAATTTTTTTTACAACAACATAAGAATATGATTTCCTTTATTCTTTGTCGCTATTATATGGTTTTACTTTAGTTAATATAAATTTTGAATTATTCATCCTCTCACAAAATTTTCATGCTCTGCCATTAATCGGAGTTTTTGAATCAACTGCACCTATATCGGAACCACTAGTGGACAAGCCATCTTGGAACTAATGGGTCTAGCTCTTGTTGTTTGCAGAGGCAGAGGAAGTGGAAGCAGTGGTTAGTTCCATGAACATAAGTTGTAGTGGTGGAGCTAGAAGTAAAACTCAATTAGTGCTAAAAGACTCAATCACATAGATTCAACCAGTGTTAAAGTTGTATTATTTATAAAAACTCAACTATTATTAAGGTTGTACCATAATTTTTTAAAAAAATTATACCTTTTTTGAAAATTAACAGATGTCAAGGCACCACCTGAGCAACAAGTGGCTCTGCTACTGATAAGCCGGGATATGATCAAGTTGTTTCAAAAAATTGGCAAGACCCATTTTTATATTTTAAAGTGTAAAGAATCATTTCAATCGAAAAATTTAAACGGTGAGATTAGGTTACATTAATGATTTATATATTTCTTTAATATACCCAACACAACACACGAGAACCTATCGAGTTTGAAAGGTAGATGATACTTATGTTAAAAAACTTCATAATATTTAATTATTTATTAATAAAATGAGGTTCATATCAAACTCGTGACGTTTTGATCGAATTCGTAAGTGATGAGTCTTCAATAATTTATATTACACCTCTCTAATACATCTTCTTATCTAAGAGCCTTAAGGACTTGAAGTGTGGATATTATATAAACCCATTTTTTTGTTCTATCATGTGTTAACTTAATTCTACTTGAAAATGAGGGTCAATCATCTTAACTAAAACCTTAAACATGTAAGTTATGGGTCTTTAATAATTTTATATTTTACTTCTCTAACATAAATTTTAATATTCTAATTTTTTTTTCTCTGCTTCCCCATTTTGATCAACGATATTTGGTCTTTGCTTAAAAATAAGTATCTAATATGAGAGAAATGCATATAGTGTAGTCTGTTTTCTACATTAATTTTTAAATGTTTATGTCGCTACTCACGCTAAGTTGCAACCGGCGTACAAATTAATTAACATAGTCTAATAAAACTTTACCACATAAGATTTTAACATCAAATTATAGAGTTAATACTAATTCCATATTTTCTAGCTATATTTAGAGAAATTTCTAACAATATTATGATAGAGTTTTCGCTTAAATATTAACATTCCCGAAATAATACAAGTATTTTGTAATAAATAAAAATAAACTTGGTTTTATTGTCACGCAACAAAAATAAACTTTTTAATTGAATGTCTCAAAAATTAGTTTCAACAACATATTCGAAAATTAGCATTAACTGGGTAAAAGTTATTGTTTCGCATCTAAGCTTTCCTTGGCTACGAATTTTTTGAAGAAAAGAACAAACAAACAAATAATAATAATCTAGCCCAAGTTCATTTTTTCATTTTTTGATTGTAAGAATCTAGTGCCGCTGCTTAACTCTATGATTAGAGGATGTAAGAATAATAATTGAATGACCATCTCACAATTAAACAAATTAAGGATTAGGATAATGAGTTTGACAGCACCATCACCACAATGATTTTGATTGTTATATAAAGTAACGATTAAAAGAAAGCGAATGAAATATTGGTTATACCGAACGCAACGGAACACCATGCATGTCCACACTAAGAAAAAGATAAGTGCTCTAGACATAGCTTATGGCCTCATTACAAGATATTTAGTTCAACATGTTGTAGAATACAAAATTTAAGAAATCATATAATTATTTTAAACTTGTGTCAGATTGACAGTTAGGTTAATATTTTCTTATAATATTTTAATAAAAAAGAATGAAAATTAAAATAACCTAAATGGAAACAACTAATGAGTGGCCGGCCATAAGGGTTAGAATACTGATCAATGAACTATACTTCCTAAAATTCTAATCATAATATCTCGTGTATCGGTGTATGAAAGGATTAGTTCACTTAATAATAAATGTGTAATGAATCTAAAAATAAGAATTAACTAACGCATCTCATCAGCGTTAGAACACATGAACATGGTGGGTTAAGCTTAGAAAGAAAACAAATTCACAATGAATACAAATTAATTACTTATTCCTCTTAAGATTATCAATGCAAATTGAAACTAGCTAGCTAGGTTATGTTTGTACGAATTAATTAATTAATAGCACTCACTTTCAACTCTTTGAGTGTCGTTAATTATGATTATTTATTTTCTTTCTATATAAGATATATTTTGAGATGGGAATATACTAACATTTAGTGTTCTCTCTCATTCTTTATCATCATTGATTCATCTTTGTACGATTATGATTTAGTGGCTGGAGATAAAATTATCTCAAGCTGTTTGAGATAACTTAATCTCCGGCTATTAAATCATAACCGTACAAACATGGATGAATGGTGATAAAGGAGTAAAGAGAAAAATAAAATCATAACCATTCAAAGGTGAATCAATTAATATAAGAAAACAAATAAATAAAATGACGTAGTTTTGAAGTTGACGGAAATAAATATATCTCAAGCTACTTGAGAAATATTTTTCTCATATATATATATATATGGACTTATCGTTTCTCAAGATGCTTGATATAATCTTATCTCCGGCTACTAAATCATAATCGTACAAAGATGGATCAATGATGATAAAGAAAGAGAGAGAAAAGGGGAATCATAACCATTCAATTGTGAATCAATTAATATAAGGAAATAAATAAATAATACGACGTAGTTTTGGGCTTACCAGAGATAAACTTATCTCAAGCTGTTTGAGAATTGTTTTTCCATATATATATATATATATATATATATATATATATATATATATATATATATATATATATATATATATATATATATATATATTTGACACCAGTGTCAAATTTAAAATTTAACACCTCATTTGAGAGCCATTAGATCAAAAAAGATCAATGGTGTCACATGCTTACAAATTAAAGTCATTGATCTTTTTTGATCTAATGGGTCTCAGATGAGGTGTCAAATTTCAAATTTAACACTGGTGTCAAAAAATCTTACCTTATATATATATATATATATATATATATATATATATATATATATATATATATATATCGGTGGAAGAAAATGAAAGTTAAGAGTTAAATATGTGGTCCGCGAGAAAGCTTCTGGAAGGTAGGGACCTAGTGTGGACCAATGTGATAGAACATGGACATGAGAGAACTAATCAGACGAGTCGTTCCTTGTATGAGTCAAAATATGATTCATTATTTACAAAAAATAAACTTGATTCAATTTGGAAAAATACATTAATGCAATGGCCAGAGAAATCAGCATATAATAATTTTTTCACTGATTCGAATGTTGCATTCTATCAGAATCAAATGTCAATATGGAATGCAGATTCATGACCACGACCATTCACCAGAGCATGCCACAGTCTGCACCTCTACCTATGACTCCAAGTCTTTAATAATCTACAATTTACCCTCTATTTCTAAATTCTTGTCCCTCGTAACAGAAAGATTCTCTTCAGGTATATATTAAAAAAATCTCGAAACAATTAAATTATTATAATTTAATTGTTTTAACAATTAAATTATTATATTTTGTTTTATAAATGTGTGCCATAATAGTTGGCTCATGCTAACGACGAGGGTTTTTCTTCTAGAAGCAATTTTTATTATTCTTTGGACCCACAAATGAGACTTAAGATAACCTCATTTAAAATGGGCCCTGCTCCACTGTACATATGCCCGGGTTTCTAGAAGGATTCTCATATTTTTTAAAAAAATTTAAATTTAAAAATTGAGGTGTTTTCAACTTTCATTTTTTTTTTTTTTTTTTTGGAGAACAAACTTTCATTTCTTTCTTCATTCATCCCTTGAAGGCTTTTAAAAACCGTGGAACCACCGGTGGAGCAGGCCTTATTGGACTCAAGGGGTCTAACTCTTGTTGCAGTGGCTGAGGAAGTGTAAGTATTGGTTAGTTCTGTGAACATAACTTGGGACATGAAGTAGTTTCGAAAAATTGGAAAGACCCATTTTTTATATTCGAAAAGTTTAATATTCCATTCGTTTTCTCTACTACCCCATTTTTATTTGCGTTATTTTCGCATTCCATAGAAATATCTAATATGAGAGAAATGCATCTAGCGTAGTCTGTTTCCTACATTAATTTTTGAATGTTTATGGCACTACTCGCGTTAAGTTGCAACCGGCGTACAAATTGATTAATATAGTCTAATAAAACTTTACCACATAAGATTTTAAGATCAAATCATAGAGTTAATACTAATTTCATAATTTGTAACTATGTTTAAAGAAATTTCTAACAAATTATGATAGAATTTCAACTTAAATATGAACCTTTCCAAAATAATAATATGTACTTGGGATGACTTGGCTGTAAAGTTTTTAGCTCAGTTCTTTCCAATGACCAAGTACAACTAGATGGTGAATGAGATCACCAACTTTATTCAACATGAAGGAGAGACCTTGTGTGCTGCATGAAAAAGATTCAAGGAGTTGCTGAGGAGATGTCCTCAATATGAGCTACGACCCGGGGAGAAAGTTCGTCTATTCTTCAACGAGATCACATCGTTCTCAAGAATGATGATCAATGCTGCCGCAGGAGGATCCATAAGACAGAAGACACCAACTCAAACATTAGAGTTGTTTGAATCCATGGCTTCATTAGAGAATGCTAAATGCAAACCAAGAAAAGAGTCTTCCAGTTGGAGAGCAATGATGCAATGCTAGCACAACAAAAGCTCATATCTCAACGAATTGCAAATCTCACTAGCATGTTTGAGAATTTTCAAGCTTCTGCTAATCAAGCTCAACCACTAGCTTGTAAGTATTGTAGAGGAAATCATGATTCTAGGAATTGTGATGCCCTGGTTAGAACAAAATCAGCTCAAGTCAACTACATGGAGAACCCTCAGAGGAACCAGAGCAGTCCCTATGGTGATGCTTACAATCCAAGAGGGAAGAATAATCCAAGCTTTCCATATCAATCACCACAACAGTTGCAACCTCAACCTCTTCCACAAAGCAATCCTTCTGAGCTGGAGAAAGCACTGCTGCAGTTGACCAAGACTATTAATGATCACATGCAGAGCACTGATGCATTCATCCAAGAGATAAGGTCTTACCACAAAAATCAAGATGCATCTATGAGAAACTTGGAGAGTCAAATTGGCCAACTTTCAAGACAACTAGCTGAAAGGAGTCAAGGAACATTCCCTAGTGACACCATAATTAACCCGAGGGAGAACTGCAATGCCCTTACTACCAGGAGCGAGGAGCTAGAAAAAGAGGAAGTTGAAGATTCTACAAGCAAGGATGAACAAGTTCAAAAGGATAAGGAAGAAGCAAAGGAGCAAACGAGCAAACTCCTGCAGTTCAAAAGAAGCAATGAGACTTTTCACACTTTAAGAAACCTCATTATCTCGCGAAGCTCAAGCAACATGAGAAAAGGAAGCAATGGTCTAAATTTTAGATATTTTTAAGAAACTGCATATTAACATTCCTTTTGCAGAAGCTTTAGAGCAAATGCCTTTGTATGCCAAGTTCTTGAAGGAGATCTTATCTAAGAAGAAGAAGCTCATAGAGGATGAACCCGTTGTTCTAACAGAGGAGTGCAGTGCTATCATACCGAGTAAGATACTCTAGAACTAAAGGATATGGGGAGTTTCAGCATTCCATGCACCATTGGCAAGATAACTATAGAGAAAGTCTTATGCGATCTTGGTGCCAGCATCAATGTGATGTCACTGTCCCTGATGAAGAAGCTGAGAATTAATGAAGTAAATCTAATCAGGATGAATCTTCAACTGGCCGACCGCTCAACAAAACAAGCGCATGGTATTGTGGAAGATGTGCTCGTCAAGGTAGATAAATTTTTCTAGTTCATGCTGATTTTGTTATCCTTGACATTGATGAAGATGCCAACGTGCCTAAGATCTTCGAAAGGCCATTCTTAGCAACCTCGGGAGCGCTAATCGATGTACCTAAGGGTGAGTTGATACTGCGTATGGATGAAGAATGAGCAACATTCAAGGTGCTTACAAATGAATCTCCATTACCTATACCTCAACCTGAAGATCAAGTCTATTACATTGTTGAAAAGAAGGTTGAGGAAAGGAACGAGAAAGAAGTCCATCAACAGTATGAGAATATGATGACTTTCTCCTTCAAGTTTATTATCTAAGTGTGCGGAATTGATTCGCCTTGCGTCTAGAATTTATTGCTAATGACAACAATGTTATAAATCTGGGAATTGTGGGCGCATAACATGCTTTGACTGAGAAGTAGACACCAAGAGAAAGAGACTCAACAAGAATTTTCAATTTAAGGGGAGATATCTCAACCTTTTTTATTTGATTTTTTTATTTTAATTTCATTTCTAGTTTTCTTTTATTATTCTATTGGTCTCTGAATGCTATTTTTGAATTAGCATGAGCTGAATTAGTTAATAAACTTGAATAGAATCTAGGAAGTACAAGTGACACTGTGAAGGTTCACAATGATTTTTCTGTCAAGATATTGCATTGAACCTTATTTAGGAGAATATGATGGCTAGTTTGAGTGATTTTCTTTTGTGAACTTTTGGATAATACAATGATTTAGAATTTAGAAAATAAAATTTTAGCTTGATACCACAACATGTGAGGTTTGAGCCTAAATAATATAGTTTTCTTATTGAGATACCTAACTATAGTAGTACTCTAGAACTTGCTCCATTTCTCTCTTGATGCATGCATAGATTGAGAAGACAAAGGTATTTTATTCTATATAACCACTTGGCCAAATAGACCATCTGATAAATTTTCCATTGCTAACCCCTTTGATCCCAAGACTTATTTTTCTTTTATTTAACCATATTGTTACTTACTCCTATCCTTAATTATTCCACCTATGAATGAGATTGAAAGACTTAACAAATATTCAGGTGAAGCTATTATGAATAGTGTTAAGTAATGAAAAGAGGGGAATAATGCTCAAAGTGAGGAAGAAAAATATTAAATAAAGTTGAAGTAGTTTGTGTAAAAAAAAATAGAAAAAAAAGAAAAAAAAGAAAATGCATTTTATTTTATTTTATTTTATTTTATTTTCTAAAAATGCAGCAACTAAGAAAATAAGAAGGTGATAGAAGGGAGAAAAGTATGAAGTTAGAAAAAAAAGAGGTAAAGAGAAGAAGTAGTGAAAGAATGTATGTGAATTGACTGATTTTATACTGAATAATGTATTTCAATCTCATATAAGTAATTTAGCTATTTCCCAAATATTTTTACCCTCATACCAGACCACGTTACAACCCTGAAAAGACCTTTTAATTAATTTGTGCATGTTATCGGTGTTCCTCATCTTTAGGAACTTGAGAATAGAATCAAGCCTATGGTAGTACTATTACACTGATGGATTGAGTGATTTTATCCCAAACACTTGAGTGACGAGTGTTTTGTTTATCCTAGTGAGGGGTACTCAAGTTAGATTCTACTCCTATTGAAAAATTGGAATTATTGTTTGAAGTTCTCAATATTGGTAGTCATTCATGCTTAGCATAGTATTCTCTTGAGCATCTTCTTTAAATTACTAGTTTGATGCAATGTTATGCTTGAATTTCATGTAGTCTTCTCCCAAGTCACTTTCCTGGTTCATATTATTTATTCTAGTCTATTGCTGAGTAAGCAATGACTAAAATTGGGAATTATTTGATGTGTCTCCAATTTATTATGTATTAAGGGTTAATATGAGTATGAAATTGATTTAAAATAATTAAAAGTTATAAGAATTATAATTAAAGTGTTATTTTATTCTCAGTTATATTCTCATAAAAATTCTTATATTTTGCAGTAATTTTTAGCTCAATAAAAAGATATATTGAAGAGCTCAAGTGGATTTATTTTGGAATTTTTGAATCATATAATTGATTGAAGATCTTATTGAATATCCTCTTGAAATATTTTTAAGGAAAATTTTCCTTTAAATATAAAAGAGGAAATTTTAAGGATTTGATTAAAGATATGATTGGAAATTCTAGTGAAGATTCCGTTGAAGATATTATGAAAAATTAAAAGATATGGTTTCATCATTATAAAAAGGTAACTCTTGGAAACAGAAAGAGGTTGACACATTCAAAAAGAGAGGAGTTTTTGCTAGAGATTGGAGAATTTCTGAGATAGAGAAGACTTGAAGAAGCCAGCTATGTGTGGCTAAGTTTCTTTTGTAGTTAGGGTTATGAATCTAACGTGAATCCTTGTTTGGTTTAAATTGTTTCTTTCATAGATTGTCTCAAATTATTTGTGTTTTACCTTGGAATAATTTTATGCATTCTTGTATGACTTGATCACTCATATAGGGATTTGAGGATTAGGGTTCACAATAGACATATTAAAATTTTAATCCTGACAAAGGTAAACACCAGTTTTTGCATGATCAAGACATAGACTTGTAGGAATTGCAAACTTTTATAATTCATCGCGTTTAAGGCTTAATATGAAAGGAATTACTAAGACATTATGGTTCCAATTGGGTTAAAGGCACTCAAGTATAAGGATTTAACAACCACTTAATAAGAAGATAAAATTGTTTGAAATAATTGAGGTGAATTATTATTGAAATTAATTTAAACTACTCAAGGGGGATCATGTTGGAAATTGACAACACACAAATTGAAAACGGAAAAGAAAAAGAGAGAGAATAGACACAGCGATTTACCCTGGTTCACCCAATTTAGGCTACGTCCAGCTTGTCTGTACTATATTCACCTCGCCGCCACTCGTTACAAGTCACTTGGTTTACAAGAAAAATATAAATAGGATTAGAAAACCCTAACAGCAGCTATTCATGGGCCCAAGGCCAAATTGCTAAGAAAATTACAATAAAATAGAGGCCACAACAGTACCTAGCCTCTACGAGCCTAGGGGCGTTGCCCCCCGGACCCCCGCTACCTTTCTGCTGACCCCGATAATTAGGGCCCTCATCAACATGCGAAACATGAGCCATACCCAACAGATCAGAGGATATTTTATTTTAATTGCAATTGTCAGTCATCTTGAATTTCTTCAAAACATCCTCTATATACTTCTGCTGACTTAACCATAATCTTCCTTTGTCACGCTCCCTCTTAATCTGCATACCCAAGATCACATTTGCAGCGCCTAGATCTTTTATTTCAAACTGCTTTGCTAGCAGTCCTTTAATAGTGCTGATCATCTTCAAACTGTTTCCAGCGAGTAACATGCCGTCAACATACAAAGTTAGAATAACAAAGTCACCTTCTAACCTTTTCACATAAACACAGTGATCAACATCACAACGGTCAAAGCCAAGCTTCACCGCATAAGTGTCGAACTTCATGTACCACATCCTCGGGGACTGCTTCAGGCCATACAGAGATTTATTCAGCTTGCAGACTAGCTCCTCTTTGCCTCTTGCATTGAACCCCTCTGGTTGCTTCATGAAAATAACCTCCTCCAAATCACCATGAAGGAAAACCGTCTTCACATCCAGCTGCTCCACCTCTAGGTCATATGCAGCTGCTACAGACAAAACCAGTCTTATGGAATTTAACTTCGCAACAGGTGAAAATACCTCACCATAATCAACCCCTTATGTCTGTGAATATCCCTTTGCAACCAATCGAGCCTTGTAGCGCTCAATCTACCAATTGGCACCAACTTTCTTCTTGAACACCCACTTGCAACCAATTGCTTTTCGGTCTGCAGGTAGATTCACCAAACTCCAAGTTTGATTTTTCATCAGAGATTTCATCTCTTCTTTCATAGCTTCCTCCCACTGTTTGGCATCCTCCGAGCTCCTAGCTAGTCTTACGGTGCTCGGATCATCACCTGTAATACTAAATGCACAAACATCATCACTAGCACACAAGATATAATTTTCAGGTGTATACCTTTCAGATGGTCTTCTTTCCCTCGTGGATCTCCTCAGCACTGGTGCTTCAACCTCAGCCTCGGTTTCAGAAAATTCATCCTCTACCTCGTTATATTCAGCAGCTTCAGAATTCAAATTTTCCAATTCAACCTGTGAGTTTGTTGTATCATCTTTCAAACCCACATCCAACTCCACTGTCTGTGACTTTTCAGGAGCTTCAGGAAAAATTTGATTCAACTTACATTCCCTGAATATAACGTCTCTGTTGTAAGTTACACTTCTAGTATCCGGATTCCACAACTTATAACCTTTTACGCCATCCTTGTACCCAATAAAGATACACTTTTCAGATTTACTGTCAAGCTTGCTTCTTTTCTCCTTGGGTAAATGCATATATGCTTCACAGCCAAACACTCTGACATGAGATACGTTTGGCCTTTTTCCAAATAGTGCTTTATACAGAGTCTTCTCCTTCAAGGCCGATGTAGGAGATCTGTTCTTCAGATAACAAGCAGTAGCCACTGCCTCCGCCCAAAAATCAGCTGCCAAGCCTGCACCGCTCAGCATACTCCGTGCTTTCTCCATGATAGATTGATTCAACCTCTCTACCACCCCATTCTGTTGAGGTGAGTAGGGCGTAGTCTTCTGTCTTACAATCCCATTGCTCGCACAAAACTGATTACTAAGATGATGGATGAGATATAGGTCAGATTCAATTTCCCTGATACAGCAATACCGAAACGATGCTTTAACGATGCTATATCAATGCTTAATTACTAACCGAACACTAAGGTATGCTGGGCCTTTTGGCCAACCTAACATATATACCCAATAACTAATTTCCACATCTCTATGGCCAAACTAATTACTGAATTGTTCAAGTTCAAGTTCAAGTTCTAGGCTATGTGGTGTGAATGATCTCTCTACCCACAACTTAATCAAGTTATATTAACCTAATTAATCCACACAATTCAACAAGGGTCTGGATTCGAAAACCTCTCGGCCCTAACCTCCTCAATATCATATATGTATCTCTCGACATGCACACATGAATAAGATTAAGCAAACTCGTTGAATAACTAATTAAACATTAATAAAAACAAAGTTTAGGCATACATCTCAATGTTACAGCATATGTACTTTATCACATAACCTATAGAGCAATTTAGCTCATAATGGAATTAAATAAAATAGAGAAAAGGAAGAAAGAACTCATTGGAAAACAGAAAAGAAGATGAAAACGAATGCTGTAGGAAAACGTCGTCACTACCTTGCTCCAGCAGCTCTTCCTCCTCCAAGAACCTTGCTTTCTCTCTCTAAAACGTGGGAGGGGTACTACATTCTTCCCCTCCCTTCTTTCTTGCCTTTCTGACCTCTCTCTCGCTTTTTGAATCCGTGGGGGAAGTCCTCTTTAAATAGGAAAAGTGGTTGGATACTTGGGATTTAGGGTTAAGAGTTATAATCCATGAATCTTGTTGCAGCAGCCTTATCGTATCCCTAGATTCTTGGGTTGTTGGCACTTGTTGGATAAAATCTTGATCTTCTTGGAATCCTTGTGCCAATGTTGTTGTTGACCGAGTATGAGCTGAGTTTGTTTTCCTTGATTCTTGAGATTTTCGGATTTGTTGGCACTCAATTGGATATGATCTTTATCTTCTTGGATTTCTTGTGCCAATGTTGTTAACCGAATCAAGGTTGTTGTCCTTGTTCTTTGGGATTTGGATAAGATTCAATCTTTGAATTTGTCTTTGACCCTTGTGATTTCTGAATTAAATCTTCAGAAACTTCCCTTGCTTGCTGGTGCATTGTTGGGGAATAACTAACTTTTGAAATTCAAAAGTTCGGTTGTTCCTTTGTCCACGCTGTCATGCTATAGCGCTTGCTATATCATTAACTCGTCAGCTTCTCTGCTACAACATTCCTACGTCATTTTTCCTGCGAAGACAAACACTCAACAAGTCATCTTTTCTTATATAAAATCAAGGAATATTATCTTATTTTCCATACTTAGTCATCTCAAAGCATTTAATCACAAATATACAATATTTAGCTCAATTATCATGTAAAAAGGTCAACTTATATGGAATTTATGCAATAAATTCATCATAAAAATACTAAATTAACTCTCATTTGGGAGAGTTATCACACTCCAAACTCACAACGTTGCTCGTCCTCTAGTAACAAAGAAGAAAATGATTAATTGGCCTGCATAAATTCAACAGCATAATTGCAGCAATGACTATTATTGAGATGAGCAGTTCTGATGTAGCATTCCAATAGCAATGTACACGTGAGAGTTGCCTTTCAACCTTGGCTTACACTTCAACTTTGGGACCTTTGTCAGCTTCTCTTCTCTTGGCTTCTTGCTTCTGGAGTATTGAGTATGTGTGTTGAAGAACTTCCTTGTTGGCTTGATCCACTTGAGAACATCAAACTAAGAATCATAAGACTTAGTTGTTGTATCCATACTTTGCCAAACTTGAATCAAGACCCATATGTAGAGAATTGAAGGAACGAGTGTCCACCTTGCTTGCTTTTCTTTTGACTTTGGCTCCCTCTTTTATTTTTTGTGAGCTTTGCTCATGTGCATTGACACTTATTTTATTTTTTTGCTTTTGACTTGATTTTTCTTTTTGTGAGGGGCTTTTTTTTTCACTTGTGCTTTTGCACTTGATTTAGCTCGGCTTCTTTCACCCTTATAGCCTTCAAGACTTACTTATACGGTAAGATTCAAATGCATCAAACTTGGATCCTAAGTCCTCATCCGCAATCCACTCTTTAGGCTTCTCTTGCTTTCAAGTCATTCTTTGTGCTTGCATGTTCAATCACTCCAGTTGCTTTCTGCTTTGATAATGTCAGCCTCCAATTCATGCCTCCATTGCTTTGCAAGTTGAAGTTGAAAAACACTTACTCTCACTCATCGTAACTACTGTTGTCCTGCTACAGCAAAAAAAATCATAACAACATAGCTAAGGATGCAATCTGTTTTACCTTATTGATGCAGCATTAATTTCTAACTTCTTATTACTCTTTATTTTCCAACTTTTTTTCTTATTTTCATGCTGTAACATATACCTAACTTCTTTATTCACACAAACAGAAATTTAAATTTACCGAATTTAAAATCTACTGACTAGCAAACATGTTCATCTTTTTCATTAACTTCATAAGTGATGCAGGGGATTACATATATAGCAAAAAATAAAAATAAAAATAAAAGAGCAATACAACCTAGATATTTTTCTTCTAAATCAAAACTATTACAAGTTATGATCTAGTCTTCATCTTGCTCTTCTTGGTCCGAGGGGTTGTCTTCCATATTTTAGTCTTTTTGCTCAACCTCCTCTTCCCTTTCTTCTTCTTCATCACTCCCTTGCTTTTTCCACTTTGGGTGCTTGGCTTCTCCATTGTTGCCACTCCAAACTCAGTTTGGTTGCCTCGAGTGAAAGAAAAAAAAATTAGGGTTGGGGGACTCCAAACTCAAGCCTTTGCTGTGGCTTGAGTTCTTCTCTTTTGGGCATCAGTACCCTTTTCTTCCTGCAAAACATCTTAAATAAAATTAAAAAGAAACATGAATACTAACTTATCCTAATCCTAATAATTGAGAATACGAAAATTAAAAATTGCAAGAATTTAAAATACTGAAATTAAATTGCATAATTTTAAAAACTTCCCAATTGAACTTTGGGCTGCCTCCCAAAAGCGCTTATTTTATAGTCTTCAGCCTAACTTGGATTGATGATCAAGGAGGTTTGAAACAAAGAGCGAAGAACAACTTTGATTCTTCGATCCAACTCTTCTCGCATGTAGACTCCTTCATCTTGACCTTGGGCTTGCTTCCAACCCTTAATGATTGAGGAACATCGAGGTTTGTTATTCCATATTCCGTATATTCAATGGTATGCACCTGATCTCCATCCATCTTTAAGATTAAATCACTTTTCCACATATCTACCATAAATTTTTGAGTATCAAAGAATGAGTCCTCGAGAAATTGAGAAATAGTAGGGTCCTCCTCTATGTCAAGCATCACAAAATCTACTTGGTGTGCAAAGCTGCCTATCTTGACATTCATATTTTCAACAATGCCAATTGATGCTTTGATGGAGCGATTAGGAAAATGCAGAGTCATCTTTGCAGACCTTATGTTCTTATTCCCATTTTTTCTAGTAGAGTCATAGGCATCAATTTCACCTTAGCCTCAAGATCACTCAAGGTTTGCTCTTTTTGCATGGCATCTTGTTGCTTTTGTAGCCTTGGAGGTAAAGGAGATGGTGGTATAATTGTCTTGCTGACGGTCTGACCCTGCTGTAGTTTTGCTGTAGCAGTACTCTCAGTGCCAGCAATTTGAGGTTCTTCGGGTTGATCATAAATTTCCACCTTTTTTGCAGCTTTATTTCCTTCATTATGATTTAATGCCTTCTGCTTCTGCTCATGGTATTTCTTTATAACTTCTGGTTCATCTACGGCTTTACCACCTGATATTGCTATAGCATTGGCATGTTCTTCTCCATTATTTATTTCAATGTCCTTGATGTGCTCCTCTTCGTTTCTCCTTGGATACTCTGTGCTGCTAGGCAGTGTGTAATATTGTCTGATGTTGATTGCTTCTGCCAATTGTCCCATCTGAGTTTCTAAGTTTTTGATAGATGCATTTTGGTTCTGGATAAGGGAATCACTTCTTGCCATAAAGTCCTTCAGTATGCTTTCCAGTGTATTTGATGTATCAACTTGTTGAATAGGCTGTTGCTGCTGCATAAATTCAGAAGGGTGTGAAATTATGTTTGAATATGTTGCTATAGCAGAGAATTCTTGTTGCTGCCCTTGTGAATATGAAAGAATTGAGTTGTTCCCCCATTCTTGATTGTAGGCGTTTGAATATGGATTGCTCATGTTATAGCTTCCTACAAAACAAACAGATCGAGGGATTTTTGGACAGTTATCAAAAACATGAGGACCATTACAGAAAACACATGATATAACATTGGTTATGGTATGCACTTGTTGTGCTCTAGCATCAGCAGACAGATTAAGTGACTTGATTGTATCATTCAAAGATGAAATGTGTTCTGCCAATACTAATAAATCATCATGCTCCAGCACTCCAGCAGCCTTCTTTGGTGTATTCATTATTTTTGTTGGCCACTGGTAATTGCTAAATGCCATCCTCTCTAAGATTTCATATGCTTCTGTGAATGTCCTAGCTAAGAGAGCTCCTTCGGCTGATGCATCAACTGCACCCCTTGTTTGATTATTAAGTCCATTGTAAAAAGTCTCCATTTGTATCCATTTCAGTATACCATGATTAGGGCATTTCTGCAGCAATTCCTTGAATCTGTCCCATGCTTCATAAGGTGTCTCACCATCATATTGTTGGAACGCTGCTATATCATTCCTTAACTGAATTGCTTTCGTGGGAGGAAAGAATTTCATCAAAAACTTTTCAGCCATGTCCTCTAATCTACGGATGGAATTAGGTTGTAGTGTGTTCTGCCATACCTTAGCCCCATTGGTGAGAGAGTAGGGAAATAACTTCATCTTTAATGCATCTGATGTAACTCCTTGTATCTTGAAGCTATCTGCTACCTCCATGAAATTTTTGATATGAAAAAGTGGATCTTCACTAGGCATCCCATTGAATAGGCCAATTGTTTCCAGCATGTCAAACATGACCGATTTCAATTCAAAATTTGCTGCTGCAATTTCTGGTTGAACAATCGGAGAATGAAGGTTCTTGAGTGCTAGGATTCTTTGCCCTATGATTGAGATCTTAGACTGAATTGGCTCTTCATTGCTAGCTCTTGCTCCTGCCATTGTTGCTGCCATATCAGGTAATGCTGTAGCGTTGCTACGACTTTGCTGTCTCCTTCAAGCTTGCAACGTCCTTTCAGTTTCAAGGTTAAAGTTCACTTCTTGCTTGGATGGAGAACTGCTCAAACGCTGCAATTAACACTTGAAAACAGAAAAGAAGAAAGGTGAAAGAAAAGAAAAAGAAAAGATAGAAAGAGAGAGAGAATTTCTTCACTTAAATAAAAAGCTTTAAAGAAATCATCCCCGGCAACGGCGCCAACAACTTGTTGTGCAATTTGCAATCAATTAAATCAATCACA